CCACAGACTCCACAGAAATCCAAACCATCATCAGAGATTATTACAAACAATTCTATGCACATAAACTAGTAAACCTGGAAGAAATGGATAAATTCCTGGACACCTGCATCCTCCCAAGCCTAAACCCAGAAGAAGACAAAACCCTGAATAGACCAGTAACAAGATCTGAAGTCGAGGCAGCAATAAAGAGTCTACCACCCAAAAAAAGCCCAATTCCAGAAGGGATCACACCCGAATTCTACCAGACACACAAAGAGGAGCTGATACCAATCCTTCTGAAACTATTCCAGACAATCCAAAAAGAGGGAATCCTTCCCAAATCATTTTATGAGACAAACATCATCCTGATACCAAAACCCGGCAGAGAATCAAAAAGAAAAGAAAATTTCAGGCCAATACCCATGATGAATATAGATGCAAAAATCTTCAATAAAATACTGGCAAACCGATTGCAACAGCATATCAAAAAGCTCATCCACCATGATCAAGTAGGATTCATCCCAGGGATGCAAGGCTGGTTCAACATACGCAAGTCTATAAACGTAATTCACCACATAAACAGAATCAAAGACAAAAACCACATGATTATCTCAATTGATGCAGAGAAGGCCTTTGATAATATTCAACAGCCCTTCCTGATAAAAATCCACAATAAACTAGGTATTGATGGAATGTATCTCAAAACAATAAAAGCTATTTATGACAAACCAAACAGCCAATATCATACTGAATGGGCAAAAACTGGAAGCATTCCCTTTGAAATCTGGCACTAGACAAGGATGCCCTCTCTCACCACTCCTATTCAATATAGTACTGGAAGTTCTAGCCAGAGCAATCAGGCAAGAAAAAGAAATAAAGGGTATTCAAATAGGAAAGGAGGAAATCAAATTGTCTCTATTTGCAGATGACATGATTGTATATATAGAAGACCCCATCGTGTCAACCCAAAATCTCCTGAACCTGATAAACCACTTCAGCAAAGTCTCAGGATACAAAATCAACGTGCAAAAATCACAAGCATTCCTGTACACCAGTAACAAACTTAAAGAGAGCCAAATCAAGAACGAACTGCCATTCACAATTGCTACAAAGAGAATAAAATACCTAGGAATACAACTAACAAGGAACGTAAAGGACCTCTTGAAGGAGAACTACAAGCCACTGCTCAATGAAATAAGAGAGGACACAAACAGATGGAGAAACATTCCTTGTTCATGGTTAGGAAGAATCAACATCGTGAAAATGGCCATACTGCCCAAATTAATTTACAAATTCAACTCTATTCCCATCAAGCTACCAATGACCTTCTTCACTGAACTGGAAAAAACATCTTAAACTTCATATGGAACCAAAAGAGAGCCCGCATAGCCAAGTCAATTCTAAGCAGAAAGAACAAAGCAGGAGGCATCACACTACCGGACTTCAAACTATACTACAAGGCTACAGTAATCAAAACAGCATGGTACTGGTACAAAAACAGAGATATAGACCAATGGAACAGAACAGAGGCCTCAGAGGAAATACAACATACGCATAAAGATCTGATCTTCGACAAACCTGACAAAAACAAGCAATGGGGAAAGGATTCCTTGATTAATAAATGGTGTTGGGAAAACTGGCTAGCCATGTGCAGAAAGCATAAACAGGATCCCTTCCTGACATCTTACACAAAAATTAACTCCAGATGGATTAAAGACGTAAATACCAGATCTAACACCATAAAAACCCTAGAAGAAAATCTAGGCAAAACCATTCAGGACATAGGCATAGGCAAGACTTCATGACCAAAACGCCATGGTAATGGCAACAAAAACCAAAATAGACAAACGGGACCTAATCAAACTCCACAGCTTCTGCACAGCAAAAGAAACAGTCAGTAGAGTGAATCGGCAACCAACAGAATGGGAAAAAGTTTTTGCAGTCTACCCATCTGACAAGGGGCTGATATCCAGAATTTACAAAGAACTAAAACAGATCTACAAGAAAAAAAATAAACAAGCCCATTCAAAAATGGGCGAAGGATATAAACAGATACTTTACAAAAGAAGACATACAAGAGGCCAACAAACATATGAAAAAATGCTCATCATCATTGGTAATTACAGAAATGCAAATCAAAACCACATTGAGATTCCATCTCACGCCAGTTAGATTGGCAATCATTAAAAAATCTGGAAACAACAGACTCTGGAGGGGATGTGGAGAAATAGGAACACTTTTACACTGTTGGTGGGAATGTAAATTAATTCAACCATTGTGGAAGACAGTGTGGCGATTCCTCAAGGACCTAAAAATAGAAATCCCATTTGACCCAGCAATCCTATTACTGGGTATATATCCAAAGGATTATAAATCATTCTACTATAAGGACACGTGCACACGAATGTTCATTGCAGTACTGTTTACAATAGCAAAGACCTAGAACCAACCCAAATGCCTAACGATGATAGACTGGATAGGGAAAATGTGGCACATATACACCATGGAATATTACACAGCCGTCAAAAAAGATGAGTTCACGTCTTTTGTAAGGACATGGATGAACCTGGAAACCATCATTCTCAGCAAACTGACACAAGAGCAGAAAATCAAACACCGAATGTTCTCACTCATAGGCTGATGTTGAACAATGAGAACATATGGATACAGGGAGGGGAGCACTACACACTGGGGTCCATTGGGGGGAAATGGGGGAGGGATGGGGGAGGGACGGGGGTGGGGATGTGGGAAGAGATAGCATGGGGAGAAAGAACAGGTACAGGCGAGGTGATGGAAGGCAGAAAACCACACTGCCATGTGTGTACCTATGCAACAATCTTGCATGTTCTTCACAGGTACCCCAAAACCTAAAATGCAATAAAAAAAATTAAGGGTAAATAAGGCTTGCGCTATTAGTGTTGCAGTTTAAGATAGAAAACGGGTTTTTCAACTTGTCAATTAGGAAATTATTTTCTACTGAGGAGCAAAGCTATATGGCTGGTTTTTAATTGCTCCTTACTAATTCAGGGGTTAGCTGTCATTCCTCTCCCTTCAGAGGTCACTCTTTTACTTAAATTATATGTTAAAAGAGCCACATGAAAGGTAGAGTTGGAATAACAACAGTGGCTAGTATCAGGAAACAGTTTTACAAATCCTTAAATTTTACTTAAATCTTAGCAGAGAATTACAATTTGGGATGTAAGAACACACAGAACTTTACTGTGGGACACCTGTGGAGAGCAGCCACAGTGGAGAGATCCTGAGACAGCAGCCACGAGGCCCTGCCCAGGTGCTGCTCCCTGCTTTCCACTTGTACTGTTTACTACACCTGCCTGCATCGCAGATGCTGGCCTTAGGCAGAGCTTCCCTGCCAAAGCATCTTTTATTTTCTTTTTTTTTTTGGTTGGTGGCAGCTTCAGCCTGTAATGACTTTTTCTTACCTTATTATATGCATATACCTGATTCCCTTGCTGATTATCAATTACTGAGCAGTCTGAGTTCCTTCTGTAATGCCGATTGTTTAGGACAAATTTCAATAGCTGTAGTGTTTCCTTTGTTCCTTTTCCTATTCATTTACATGCCTTCGTGAATGATTTTTTTCCATTTGTTCCCCGAGCTTTATGTCCAGCATGTTCTTTACCGAGAACCATGGGCTTTGGGAAGCAGTGACTCGAATTACATTCTGTACTATTATCTGTTGAGCTATTCTGTACTATTATCTGAATGAGCAATTGAAACATTCAAATTATAGCAGAAAGGTTTAGCAAAGTGTCCTTTTCAGATAACTGCTGTCCCATGATGAATTCCCATCCTGAAAAATTGCCTCCTCAAGCTTGGCAATCCCCAGTGGGTACCAATGACTTACTACTTTTTGACCTGACCTGATCACGTGGTCCTCTTCACTTTTTGGTCTCAGGAGGTCTGCTATTCCTTCCCCCCAGCGATGATCACATCAGTTCATTCTGTGCTGGAGTGCCTGCTGTGATGGGTATCACGTCAGGATCACCACAGATGTTTTATATATACTGAGATATAGAATCCTTCAACAATCTTATGAGGTAGGTACTATTATTACCCCTATTTTATATACAAAAAGCTAAAGCATATAGAGGTTAATAAACACACCCTAGGTCACACAGCCAATAAATCTCATGCATCTGGGACTGAAAACCTGGTTATCAGGCTCCAAGATCCTTGCCCTGAGCCATTCATTACCACCCCATTCTGTCTCTCAGAAGGAATTGAGACCTCATCATCAAAGCTCTGCATCAAATGCGAGGTATAGTTACGAACTGCATAATGATAGGAATACATTCTGAGAAATTCACCATTAGGCAATGTCATCATTGTGTAAGCATCATGGAGTGGACTTACACAAACCTATGTGTTATAGCCTACTACACAACAAACCTATACAGTATGTCACTGTACTAAATATTGCAGGCAATTTTATCACAATGGCCAGTATTTGTGCATTTAAACATGGTTAAACATAGAAAATGTGCAGTAAAAATACAGTATAAAAGAAAAAATGGTACACCTATCTAGGGCATGTATCATCATTGAAGCTTGCAGGAAGCTTCATTCATGATATGTGCCCTAGATAGGTGTACCATTTTTCTTAAAGTTGCTCTGGATGCATCAGTGAGTGAATGGTAAGTGAACATGAAAGCCTGGGGCATTACTGTACATTACTGTAAATTTTATAAACACTGTAAACTTAGGCTAGTCAATTTATTTAAAAAATTTTCTTCAGTAAAAACCTTAGCCTACTATAACACTTTTACTTTATAAACTTTTTAAAAACCGTTTTGACTTTTTTTTTAAATAATACAAAACTGTGTTTAATACTACCAAAAATACAACTGTGTGCTGCTCTCCCTGGCTTCCATGGGAGGACTGCAGGCAGCCCCTGAACTGTAGTCCAATACAGGAAAGGGTCGGCCGCCTCGGGTAGGGAATGCTGCCGGTTTAAAAAAAGGAAGAGGAGGCTGATCTGGTGAGGGCTGCATCCATGAGGGTTAGAGGTGGGTTAGGGGAATGGGGGTACCAGAAAGGGGAGGGTTGTATGGAGTGGGAGAGCCAGGGGGCAGGTAGGGGACATAGGGGGGCAGTAGCTCCCCCTGGAGCCTAGGGTCACTCTGAGGGAGGGAGCACGGTGAGGGGGCCTCCAGTTTGCAGTGAGAAGAGCCATAGCTGCCAGGCAAGTAGGCTGTTGAGTAGTTGGGGGGTTTGTACCCAAAGCCTCTGCTGGGTTGGGTGGTCGCGTACCCTGGCCCCCAGAGTGGGCCGCTGCTGGCCAGGCTGCCTCTTCCCTGTCCGCAGCGGGAAGGTCCGGCGCCCGCGCTCTTGGCCTTGCGCCGAGGCCGGTACTTGTAGTCGGGGTAGTCGCGCAGGTGCCGGGCGCTGAGCCGCTTGGCCTCCTCCACGAAGGGCCGCTTCTCGTCCTCGCCCAGCAGCTTCCACTGCGCGCCCAGGCGCTTGGAGATCTCGGAGATCTTTGGGTTCTGCTGCGCCATCTGGCGGCGCTGAGCGGAGCTCCACACCATGAACGCGTTCATCAGCCGCTTCACCTTCTCCAGGGGTAGCACCCCAGGGACTGCGGGGCTCCCAGCACCCTCCCTCTCCTGGGGTCCCGAAGACTAGGAGGCAGCAGCCGTGGGAGCCGGAGGCTCCAGGCTCCAGGCCTGGTCCTGTGAGGAGCCCGATAGCGCCATGGGTCAGGAGAAGCCTTAAGAGGGCGTCCTGAATGCCCTCCCCTCAACGTGAAGCGTCGATCCTGAAAATGGAAGGGTCTTCTGGAGTCATTGCACAAAAATATTGTTTTCTTTATACACAAAAATATTTTTTCTTTATATCCTTATTCTATAAACATTTTTTCTTTATACACAAAAATATTTTTCTTTATATCCTTATTCTATAAACATTTTTCTTCTTTTTTAAAAAATGCCTTTTTTGTTAAGAGCTAAGTCAGGAACACACACATTAACCTGTACCTACACAGGGTCAGGATCATCAGTATCTCCACATCTTGCCCCATTGGTAGGTCATCAGAGGCAATGACATGCATGGAGCTGTTGTCTCCTATGGTAAGTATACCTTCTTCTGCAATACCTACTGAGGGACCTGTCTGAGGCTGTTTTAAGTTAGCTTCTTTATAGGTAGGAATACACTCTAAAATAAGAATTAAAAGTACAGTTTAGGGCTGGGCACTGTGGTTCACACCTGCAATCCCAGCACTTGGGAGGATGAGGCAGGTGGATCACCAGGGTCAAGAGTTCAAGACCAGCCTGGCTAACATGATGAAACCCTGTCTCTACTAAAAAAAAAAAAAAAAAATACAAAAATTAGCATGGTGGCAGTCACCTGTAATCTCGGCTACTCAGGAGGCCGAGGCAGGGATAATTGCTTGAATCTGAGAGCTGGGTGTTGCAGTGAGTGAGATCACACCACTCTATTCCAGTCTGGATGATGGAAAGAGACTCTGTCTCAAAATAATAATAATAATAAATTAAATTAAAGTATAAAAGCAAAATTTAGTAAATATATTAACCAGTAATAGTCATTTATTATCATCAAGAATAGCATACTGTACATAATTGTATGTGCTGTACTTCTATACAGCACATACAACTCAATGGTGTTGAGTGTCCTGGAATCGACTTGCCTTGCCTTGACTGGATTCGACTTGCCTGCAATCAGCTTGCTTTGTCTTACCTGAAATTGACTTGCTTGTAATTGACAGGCCTTACCTTGCCTGGAATCGACTTGCTCACAATCATCTTGCCTTGCCTTGCCTTGCCTTGCCTGGAATCGCTTTCTCTGAAATCAACTTACCTTGCCTTGCCTGGAGTCGACTACCCAGCAATGACTTGCCTTGCCTTGCCTGGAATAGACTTGCCTGCAATTGACTTGCCTTGCCTTACCTGAAATTGACTTACCTTCAATCGACTTGCCTTGTTTTGCATGGAACCACCTTTCCTGGAATTGAATTGCCTTACCTTGCCTCGAATTGACTTGCCTGCAATCAACTTGCCTTGCCTTGCCTGAAATCTCCTTGCCTGGAATGGACTTGCCTTACCTTGCCTTGCCTTGGCTTGCCCTGACTTTCCTTGCCTTGCTTTGCCTTTCATTGTTGTACCTTGCCTGGTATCGACTTGCCTGGAATCGACTTGACCTGCATTGCCTGGAATCGATTTTCATAGCCTTGCCTGTGTTCACCTTACCTGGAATAGACTCGCCTTGCCTTGCCTAGAAAAGACTTCCTTTGCCTTGCTTGGAATCGGCTTGCTAAAATTGACTTGTCTTTCCTTGCCTGGAATCGCCTTGTCTGGAATTGAATCACCTTGCCATGCCTGAAATCTTTTTTGCTGGTATTGACTTTCCTTGCCTTGCCTGGAATCGCTTTCCGTGTCCTTTCCTTGCCTGGAATCGCCTTGCCCTGCCTTGCCTTGCCTTGCGTTGTTCTGCTTCCCTGGTATAGACTGTCCTGGAATCGACTTACCTTGCCTTGCCAGGATTCAACTTGTCTGCAGTCGACTTGATTTGTCTTACCTGAAATGAAGTTACTTGTAATCGACTTGCCATGCCTTGCCTGGAATTGACTTGCCCGCAATCTACTTGTTAGCCTTGCCTGGAATGGCTTTCTCTGAAATCATCTTACCTTGCCTTGCCTGTATTCGACTAGACTGCAATTAACTTTCCTTGTCTTGCCTGGATTTGACTTGCCCACAATCAACATGCCTTTCCTTACCTGAAATCGACTTGCTTGCAATTGACTTGCCTTGCCTTGCTTGGAGTCGACTTGCCTGCAATGGACTTGCATTGCCTTGCATGGAATCGACTTGCCTGCAATTATGTTGCCTTTCCCTGCCAGGAATCGACTTTCCTGCAATCGAATTGCCTTGCCTTGCATGTAATCGACTTGACCGCAATAGACCTGCCTTGCCATGCCTGGAAATCACCTTGCATGCAGTCGATTTGTCTTGCCTTTCTGGAATTGACTTGCTTTTGTTTGCCTGGAGTAGCCTTGTCTGAAATCGAATTGCCTTGCCATGCCTGAAATTTCTTTGCTGGTATCGACTTGCATTGCATTGCCTGGAATCACCTTCCCTTGCCTTCCCTTACCTGGAATCACCTTGCTGTGCCTTGTTTTGCCTTGCCTTGTTCTGCTTCCCTGATATCAACTGTCCTGGAATCAACTTGCCTTGCCTTGACTGGATTCGACTTGCTTGCAATTGACTTGCCTTGCCTTGCCTGGAATCTACTTGCCTGCAATCAACTTGCCTTGTTTTGCTTGGAATCACATTGCCTGGAATTGAATTGCCTTACCTTGCCTGGAATCGACTTGACTACAATTGACTTGCCTAATCTTGCCTGGTATTGACTTGCCTGTAATCGCCTTGCCTTGCCTTGCCTGCAATCGACTTCTCTGCAATTGACTTGCTTGCACTTCTTGGAATCAATTTGCTTACAGTTGACTTGCGCCTTGCCTTGTATGGAATCAACGTGCTTCAACTGACTTGCCTTGCCTTGCCTGGAATAGACTTGTCTGCAATTGACTTGCTTTGCCTTAACTGGAATCGACTTGCCTGCAATCGACTTGCCCTGTTTTTCCTGGAATCACCTTGCCTGTGATTGTATTGCCTTACCTTGCCTGGAATCGAATTGCCTGCAATTGACTTGCCTTGCCTTGCCTGGAATCCCCTTGACTGGAATTGACTTGCCTTTCTTTGCCTGGAATCACCTTTTCTGGAATCGAATCGCCTTGCCATGCCTGATATGTTTTTCGCTGGTATTGACTTGCCTTGAGTTGCCTGGTATCACCTTCTCTTGCCTTTCTTTGCCTGGAATCACCTTGCGGTGCCATGCCGTGCATTGCCTTGCCTTGTTATGCTTCTCTGGTATTGACTGTCCTGGAACTGACTTGCCTTGCCTTGCCTGGATTCAACTTGTCTGCAATCAGCTTGCTTTGTCTTACTTGAAATCGACTTGCTTGTAATCGAGTTGCCTTGCCATGCCTGGAATTGAGTTGCTCACAGTTGACTTGCTTGCCTTGCCTGGAATCACTTTCTGTGAAATCACCTTATCTTGCCTTACCTGAAATAGACTTGCCTGCCATCGATCTGCATTGCCTTAACTGAAATTGACTTGCCTGCAATCAACTTGCCTTGTTTTGCCTGGATTCGCCTTGCCTGGAATCGACTTGGGTTGTCTTATGTGCAATTGATTTGCCTGCAATCGTGGTTCCTTGCCCTGCCTGGAATTGACTTGCCTGCAATCGACTTGCTATGCCTTGCCTGGAAACGACTTGCCTGCAACCGACTTGCTTTGCAGTGCTTGGAATCGACTTCCCTGCAATTGACTTGCCTTGCATTGCCTGGAATAGGCTTGCCTACAATTGACTTGCCTTGTCTTTCCTGGAACTGACTTACCTGGAATTGAATGGACTTATTTTGCCTGGAATCAACTTGCCTACACTCGACTTGCCTAACCTTGCCTGGAATCGAGTTGCCTGCAATCGCTTTGCCTTGCCTTGCCTGCAATCGACTTCTTTGCAATTGACTTGTATTGCACTTCCTGGCATCTACTTCCTTACAATTGACTTGCCTTGCCTTGCCTTGCCTGAAATCAGCATGCTTCAACTGACTTGTCTTGCCATTCCTAGAATAGACTTAGCTGCAATTGACTTGCCTTGCCTTGCCTGGAATAGACTTGCCTGCAATTGACTTGCTTTGTCTTACCTGGAATCAACTTGCCTGCAATCGACTTGCCTTGTTTTGCATGCAATCACCTTTCCTGTGATCAAATTGCCTTACCTAGCCTGGAATCGACTTGCAGGCAATCTACTTGCTTTACCTTGTCTGGAATCTCCTTGCCTGGAATGGACTTGCCTTGACTTGCCTGGAATCACATGTGCTGTCTTGCCTTGCCTTGCCATGGCTTGCCCTACTTTCCCTTGCCTTGTTTTGCATTGTCTTGTTTTGCCTTTCATTGTTGTACCTTGCCTGGAGTCGACTTGCCTGGAATCGATTTGACTTGCATTGCCAGGAATCGACCTCCGTTGCCTTGCCTGGGTTCACCTTGCCTGGAATCGACTTGCCTCTCCTTGCCAAAAATCAATTTGCCTGGAATCGAATTGCCTTGTCTTGCTTGGAATCGCCTTGCCTGGAATTGACTTGCCTTGCCTTACCTGAAATCGACTTGCCTGCATTTGAATTGCCATGCTTTGCCTGGAAGCCACTTGCCTGCAATCGACTTGCCTTGCCGTGCCTGGAATCATCTTGCTTGCATTTGACTTGTCCTTCCATGCCTGGAATTGAATTGCCAGCAATTGATTTGCCTTGCCTTGGCTGGAATTGACTAGACTGGAGTCAACATGCCTTGCCTTGCTTGAAATCACCTTGCCTGAAATCGACTTGCCTTGCATTGCCTGCAATTGACTTCCCTGCAATCCACTTGCCTTGCCCTGCCTGGAATCGACGTTCCTGCAATCGAATTGCCTTGCCTTGCCTTGCCTTGCCTGTAATCAACTTGCCTGCAACTGACTTTCCTTGCGTTGCCTGGAATTGATTTGCCTGCAGTCGACTTGCCTTGCCTTGCCAAGAATAGACTTGCTTGCAATGGATTGCCTTGCCTTGCCTGGAATCGACTTGCCTGCAATAGACTTGTCTTACCTTGCCTTTAATCAGCTTGCCTGCAATTGACTTGCCTTACCTTGCCTTTAATTGACTTGCCTGCAATTGACTTGCCTTGCCATACCTGGCATCTTTTTGCCTGGAATTGACTTGCATTTCCTTGCCTAG